AGATCTTCTTTTGCGCCACAACCTCGATGTGATGCATATAGAGAAGAACTTTTTTGAGAACATCATGAACACTATATTGAATGTCCCAGGGAAGACGAAAGACAACGTAAAATCAAGGTTGGACATACCTGATATCTGCTAAAGGAGTGAGCTACATATAAAAAGCAATGGGCAAGTTCGAGTTCCAATATTCAGATTGTCATCAGAAAAAAAGTCTGCGTTGTTCAACTAAGTGGCTTCAGAAGTGAAGTTCCCTGATGGGTATGTTTCAAATCTCTCAAGATGTGTTGAGAAAGGGCAAAATTTCTCCGGAATGAAGAGCCATGATTGTCATGTCTTTATGCAGCGACTACTTCCCTTTGCGTTTGCGGAGCTACTACCGGCAAAATTACATGAAGCACTTTCAGGTAATTAATTAATATAATACGATGACATGATTAATTTATTTATATATATATATATATATATACTAATGTGGATAATTTTTGTTTTCGTATATATAAGGAATTGGAGCATTTTTTAGGGACTTGAGCACCTGCACTCTTAAAGTGGAAGTTGTCCAACAACTTCAAACATCCCCGTCTTAATCTGTAACTTGGAGAAAATATTACCGCCTACTTTTTTTGACGTCATGGAACACCTAGTTGTCCACCTCCCGTATGAGGCATTACTTCGTGGACCCGTGCATTATGGATGGATGTATCAATATGAAAGGGCCATGAAAACTTTGAAAGGAAAAGCCAAAAACCTAGAAAGAGTTGAAGGTTCTATTGTTGCGGGAAGTTTGACGGAAGAAACATCACATTTCACTTCGTACTACTTTGCACCGGAAGTACGTACAAGGAAACGAGCTCCAAGAAGATATGATGATGGTGGTGTCGTGCCGACATATATGGAAGACGATGTTCCAGACATCATTTGTCAAATTGGGCGATTGGGTGGGAAATTGAAAGAGGTTTGGTGGTCGAGTGATGAAGACGTCCATAGTGCACACCTTTATATTCTTCTTAATTGCGAGCATCCATTGATTGCTTGTTTTGAAAGGTAAATATATAAACATACACACTTATATATATATATATATATATATATATCAATATTGAATATATAACATAACATATATGATTTTACAGCCAATTTGAGACTCAAGTCGAGGAAGCAATACCTGGTATATCGACAACTGAGTTAGACAAAAGGAAAGATCAACACTTTATCAAGTGGTTGAGGAAACATGTATTTATTTATTACTTAAATTGTATGCATACATTACCACAAAGTAAGTCTAATGTCTAGTTATATTACTTTTTGTTGCAGGTTGATTATGACGATCCCGAGTATCCTCATGGTTTCGCGAATTACTTCAAGGTCCAGTTGCAAAGGTCACTACATCATCGATGTATTTCACCCGAGGCTATACTTTTCATACCTATGACTATGGTAGACACCGGACGACAAGTAATTATGGAATATGTGTGAAAGGCGAAACAAGTTCGAGCCTTTCATATTAGCTTCCCAAGCAGATCAAGTTTGCTTCATTCCATACTCTTGGATTACTACCTCGGGAATAAACTGGTTAGCTGTTATCAAAGTTACACCTCGAGGACGAATAATCGCTGGAGAAGAACCACCACTACAAGAAGAAATCACCAATGAGATCGAGGAAGCTGAAGCAGAAATTGATGAGTTCCTACTCATTGATCCGCATAATCGTGATTACGAAGCTGTTCCTGATCACTCCATGGACGAAGGTGTAGACGACGAGTTTTTAGAAAATGATAATGTCTCAACAGATTACGACAATGTATCCGAATGAATTATGTATGTTTATAAGTTTGTTTAATCACAAAAATGAATTTGGACTATATATGTTTTAAGTTTGTTTAATCACAAAATCAATTTGCATTTGGGGTTTGGGGTTTATGTGTAGAAGAGGTTAGGATTTTGGTTGTAGAAGAAGTTATAAGTTAAGGAAGTTGTGGTTTGGGGTTTGGGGTTTCGAGTTTAGGGATTTATAAACTCTTTCCTTGTAAAGCCCTAGTAATAGAAAACGCGGGCATAGCCGTTTCCTCGTAATGTTCTAGTAACGGTATTACTAGGGCTTTACGAGGAAAAAAACGCGGGCATAGCTATTCCTACTAAAGCGTTTTCCTCGTAAGGTCCTAGTAATGTTATTACTAGGACCTTACGAGGAAATAAAAACAGGGACATAGATATTTCCTCGTAAGGTCCTAGTAACGTTACTAGGGCTTTACGAGGAAACAAAATTCCTTATATATACTCGAGCAATCCGATTTCTCATTTTCTAGTAAGCTTCTCTCTGAATCCTCTAAAGGTTCTCTCTAATTCGTAGTTAGGTGATTAGATTAGGGAATTTAGATTAGGTGGTTAGTTTAGGGAATTTAGATTAGGTGGTTAGTTTAGGTAATTTAGATTAGATGGTTAGTTTAGGTAATTTAGATTAGGTTGGTTTACTTTTTTTTACAGTTTTTTAAATTATACGGGAATTAATGTTTTGATTTTTTTTTTTAAAAAATATAGATGCCTAGACAGAGCAAGATTGCTGGGGCTGCTGGTAAGAGGACGTCGTCTCTCGAGGGGAGTCACTACGGAGATATTTTTGGGTGTCAGGATGCTCCGGGTTCATCTTCGTTAACTCCTAGTTCATCTTCGATTCCGGATCGTGACGCTGTTCCCGAGACTCAGGGTGCTTCTACGGCGTCCCGGCAACCACCTCCTCCTCCACCACCTCCTCCTCCTCCTCCACCAGTCGGGGTTCATCTCGATTTGCAGGTGCCGCCGAACGCACCCTTTGCGGTGTACACGGTGGAGGATATTTTGGCCCTTCCAGGCAGAGAAGGGCTGCCAGAGTTAGATCCTATTCGACGGGACGGCCAAAACGTATTATGGTATGTTTTAATTTTTAAAAAAGTTTTTTTAATTTATTTCTTAATTAACAAATTATTTACAAATTAATCTAATTAATGATTTATTATGTGTCTTTCTAGGTTTGGTCTTGACGGATGTGTCGCAACTAGCGTCACGAACTGTATCAAGGGATACTTTCCCGATGCAGCTCCAAACTGGAAGAAGACGGCGAGCCACACACAAAAAAACATGGTTCAAATCGTTCGCTGTAAGTTTAATGATCAACTTAATTTATTTTTAATTATTTCAAATTATTAATATTATTGAACTAATCCGTCTCTTATTTTTCCTGGTTACAGCAAAAATATCGTTGGTCTATTGGGATTCCTCAGCGGGTGAAGAAGGAGTTTGAGGGCAAGGCAAGAGCACGATTGCTCGACATGGTCTACAACTGGAAGGGCGACTATCATGTATAGATTTATAAATTATAATATATATATAGTTTTAAAAATATTATTGACTTTAATTCTAATTTTTTTTTAAATCAGGTGGATGGTTACGAGGACGGGAAACCCGATTGCCTCACAACCACGATGTGGGATGGCCTCATCAGCTATTGGGGGTTGCCGGACTCGGTCAGAACCTCCCACACAAACTTCGGGAACCGCATGACCAGAGACGAGCATGGCAACACGAAGATGCTTCACACCACGGGTCGAAAACCTCACGGGGGAGTTCGTCTAGACATGGTAAGATGATTTTTAATAACTATTTAATTTTTATTTTATTTGAATATTCCAAATTAATATTTAATTTTAAAAATTACTTTTAGGCTAAAGAGACAAGAGTTCTTCTATCTCTAAAAGACCTTTACGAGAGGACCCATCGGAACAAGGCTGGGCAATTTGTAGATCCGGCTTCCGAGCGGATCTACAACGAGGTTGTTGCCCGAGTTGACGAATGCCAGACCCAGCTGACTCAAAAGACTGGGACTCCAGTCGTATTATCCACTCTTGAAGTGGATAAGATTTACGAGGAGGTAAGTAATTTGTTTTACTATTAATTTTTAATATTATTTAAATTTTTTCTTAATGTTATTAATATTTTTATTTACAGGTCGCCCCTAGGAAAAAGGGGCATATCGTCGGGATTGACTCGGTTAACGATGTCCCTGCAGCGACATCTTCTTATCATCAGGAGCAGCACGATGTCAATGCTCAGCTGCGCTCGGAGTTGCAGGCGATGCAGTCTCATGTGCGTTCGTCCACCGAGCATGTGACTTCTCTCACAGATGTCCTCGACATTTTGGTGGTTGGAAACCAGCAATTGGAGGAGATGTTGCGTCAGAGACAGGAACGCGGAGGGATTCCAACCCAACAGCATCCACCATCACAGTCACAGCCGACAACCAACTTTGGAGAGGAGCAGGATTTGGCGAGCCAAGACGAGTTCGTTCGGCAATTTCATGACCAGCATCCGTAGTTTTTTTATTTTTAATTGTATATTATGAATTTTAAAACTTCATTGTATATTATTTAGTTATTTATAAAATATTTTGTTTTTTATTTTTTATTTATAATTTAATTTTTTTATTTTTAAAAAATTATTTATATTTATAATTAATTTTTTTTAATAGGAAATAAAATATTTCGAAGCAAAATCCTCGTAAAGTTTCCAAGTAATGTCCTCGTAATTAATTCTAGTAAGTTCCTCGTAATGTATTACTACGAGCTTACGAGGAAAAGCTTCCTACGAGCTTACGAGAAAATCCTACGAGGACCTTACGAGGAAAAGCTAACCACGCCTTTACGAGGAAAAGTTTCCTCGTAAATTTGCTAGGACCTTATGAGGAAAAATGCTTTATGATGAACGTGTTTCGAAGAAACGCGTTTCCTCGTTATTTCCTAGTATAGGGCATTTATTTGGAAATAACGAGGAAAACCCATCCTAGTAATGGACGAGTTTTCTTGTAGTGAAACTGACGGTGATCGGAATTTGGATTCACACATGAAGGACGCGTGGAGTTACATGTATCATCAGAAACCTTCAGAAAAAGAAACGTGACGAAGCGGATAACTTCTCTTATTGGGCTTTAATATAATACATTGTTTTCTTGGGGTCTTGCTTGTAATAACTTGAACTTATTTGTAAGCCTTTTGGGCTAAAGTTATGGATTAACAAAAAGTCCGGACGTTGACAAAAAAAAAATTATAAAACAAACATGGGCAAATATTTGCAAATACAATGGACACAAGTCAAGTTAAAAAAAAACATGTTGGGCCTTATATTATAACATCTTTAGGATCTTGTTCTTGATCATCATCCTTAATGATTCTGTAACTGTAAAACCACGAGCAGACAAGAAAATAGCTAAAATTCAAGACTCCTCCTATGACTAAAACCCAGTAAACATTATCAACTCTTCCGTGGTTAATATCATCTGGTAACCACGCAGTGGTCCTTCGGATCAGATCGATCAGAGCTGTGCTCAAATAAAATGTAATTCCAATAACTAGTGAGGTCAATGAAGTGGCCGTATTCCTTAATGACTCTGGGAATTCTCCATAGAATAATTCAGTATTTGCAGGTAACTGAAAGGCTTCGCTTATTCCTAGTATCACGAGAGGAGGAAACAACCATAACACTGACATGAGATGCTCATTTTCAACTGTTTTCAGCCTTTTTGCTTCCACAACCGCGGAGATGGCCATGCTTAGAATGGTGAAGACATGGCCCATACCAATTTTTTGAAGTGGAGTCATCACCTTGTTGGTTAGCTTATGGTACATGGGATAAACAAGCCAGTTGTTCATTATGATAAAGATGCATGAGAAGATGATTGCTATAACTTGGATAGATCCGGCCGAAACTTTGAAGTGAGGGCTGAGCAAACGGTCCGTAACTAAAGCTTGGAGTACCATTAAGCTTGATTGCACCGCAACGGGAATACTAACAAAGATGATGGATAGCCACAGAGGAAGAAGTCGAAGAACGGCTTTGAAATCTTCTACTTCCTGAACAGAGCATAGTCTCCATTTGTTTTTAATTGTGTCACCACTCTCCCCTTGGGTCTTCAATGCTGCACGGTTAAAGAACCTACACATGTAATTGCTTTTTCAGTTTAGGTTTCAAGTTTAATTAATGGCAAATCTCCCAAAGACACTTTTTTTTTTCTTTGACAAAAATAACAAACAAAGAAAAAATGACCAAGTTATGTTTCACTAATGAGGTAAATAATAGTGTTCCAAAAAAAATAATGAAGTAAATAATGATTATATATTTACTCTGTAGATATATAAATATAAATATAAATATAAATAAACGATTTAAATATATTTACTCTATAGATATATAAATACAAAGAAACTATTTAAATAAATAATAATAAAATTTTTTTGACAAATAATTCAATCCAAAACTTATTATTTTGTACTAAAATCCATATATCTAGATTAGTTAATTATAGAAAGTAGAAGTGTTTTTGACTTTTGTGATGAAATCTATTTTGGTTATATTTGTGATAAAATAAAATCCGTTATCCTAATTATTTATCTCTATAATATTATTTGAGAAGTCGTTTTCTTAGGTGTCGTACTCATGTTAATTTTCACGGTGGTTGATTACTATGATACCCTTAATGAATTAAAAAATATATTTAAATACTATTATTTCCTTTTTAAAACTTTCCAAATAACAATATAACATAAAAAGGAAATATTTATAAAGTATTAAAAACAATTTGAAAACGAAAATACATGAATATATAATATGATTCCATAAAAAAAAAGGAAAATTCACAAAATAATAATATTTCATTTAAACTATATTTTAAATAATATAAAATATACTTTTGTAGTAGTAAAATACTTTATTTATATCTATGTAATTTTTTATGCAAAAAATTTTTTTTATATAATGTGATTTTATAAATAAATAAAATAGTAACATAAATTGATATATGTTTAATTGACAAAAAAAATAATTAGTATTATTGAAATATTTTTTAATATATTTAGTTGACTATAAGATATTAAAATTACATCAAAAAAATCTAAAATCTTTTTACTTATATAATATAATTTCCTTAAAACAATCACATTTTACTACATATTTTAAGAGATATTAAGAAAACTAAAGTAAATTTTAGCAATAAACATCTTTTGATCAAATAACTACAAAATGAATGACTTGACTAATCCAAATTATATCTAAATTCATAAATTTAATTAAAATAAATATATATAATTTATCAATTTTATAAGAAATTATAATTTTCTAATAATAATTTATTTATTTAATAAATTTAAACTATAGGTGACTTAAAAAAACTGTTACAATTTCGTTTTTTTGTAAAATTTATGTATATGCAGTAGACATTAAAATATTATCATTATGTTAATTTATGTAATTTAGAATCGGACACTTTAATTTTATTTTATTTTATCATAAGCATAATATATCTTAAGTTATACATAATCTTACTAAATATACTTACATATCTAAGACAACAACCAACTTAAAACTATAAATTAATTTAAAACTAAAAGTAAATATTAATAAATTATTATAGTATATTTACTTCATCACGTGCTCATATATTAACTCACTGTTACAATTTAGTTCTTTTATAAAATTTATGTATATGCATGAGATTTTAGAATATTATCATTATATTAATTTATGTAATTTAGAATCGACACTTTAGCTTATTTTTTATTTTATCATTAGCATAATATATCTTAAGTCACATAATCTTACTAAATATACTCATATATTTAAGACAACAACCAACTTAATATCTTTAGAATAAAAATATTATATTTGAATTAAAAAATAGATGAAATCCAATATATCCAAATAAAATGGATTAGATATAAAATATCAACAATCATATGTATAATTAAAGTAATATAATACTATTAATATAAGTTATATACACAAACTATAAATTAATTTAAAATTAAAAATAAATATCAATCAATTATTATAGTATATTTACTAGGTAAATATTTATGTCCGTGCACGAGCACGGGAAAATCACCTAGTTTTTAATTAATTCGTTCTTTTTGTTTTCACCTGAAGCTCTTGGATGCCACTACAAGAATAGTTTTGTCCTTTTCTCCAAGCCCATGGTGATAGTAGTCTTCGTCTCTGGATGAAATCACAGCCTTTCTTTTCATTGTAGCAGCAACTAAAACGCGGACTAGCCTTGTGAAGGGACTTCCCATAGGTTTGTTATGCTTGTAGAGTCTCTTCCCGGACATGAAAACGATAAAACTGATCAAATTAGCAGCGACGCAGAGACCGAATCCAAGTTTCCAGCTAGCATTGTCCTGCGTATACACAATTGCTGTTGCGCTAATGATCGCGCCTGTATTTACCGTGAGGAAATAACAGTTGAAAAAGGTTCCTTGATCTTTAGGTTTCTCATATTGGTTTGCACCACCAGATGCCAAAGTCACTCGTGTCCCAGCTGTTCCAGTAGTCACTAGAGCTAGGACTGCATACAAGATCCCAAGCTGGAATTGTGATGGTGATTGGCATAGGATTGAGCCTGTTTCACACGGTCGAGGTCTCAAGTAGTCCAAAGTTGCGATAAGAGTCAAAAGAAAGATGCCCTGAAAAAGACTTTTCGGAAATGGTGAGCTTTTGTATAAGTTAATAGTAAAGCATCGATGAGTTTTGGATTTACGAGTAGAGAAATGAAAGTAGAAGCCAAGATGACAGGAATGTCTCCAAAAAAAGAATCGGCTAGAATGGCTGCAACAACAGGCAACATGGCAAGACATCCATTGAAAATATTTGAAATCTGAGCAGCAGCGATGCTCTTGATGTTGAATTCCTCGATCAAGAAAACGATCAAGTTAAGTATTACTCCGAAAGAAGTTATGGACAATCCCAACAACGTAACTGCACCACAAAATCACTATCACTTGTCTATGCTTTTGAACCCAAAAACATAGACAACACAAAAAAATATAAATCCGAAAACACGAACCGATGATGAAGGGAAAAGTGATCCAGCCACCACGCTTTCTGCTTGGATCGACAGAGTGTTGCACTTCTATGTCACCAGAGACTAAATCAGCCATAAAGGAAAACAAGAAGAATTAGGAGTTACTTTTGACTTATGTTTGTGTGTGTGATGCGATGTAAAAAGCCTTAAACACTATATATAAGCGCAAATGCAGACCATTTTTTCTTGGTACAATCATTTGGTATAAAATAGCTAGCCAAACTGTGACATTTCATCTACTGTTGTCGTTTTCCAATATCACGCTGGTGGATATATATAATAAACAACTAAAGAAGATCTAGCCAGATCTTCAATAGTAGTATCCACTAATCATTATCCACTAATCATCTTTGTATAGTCTTTATGTCGATTCTGAATTTTTTAAAAAGTTTCCCGAGACTGATTTGATCAAGTTCTGCTATATGTTTTTATGGTCGTGTAATGATGATGAAAGTTGAAGCATCAGTGGTTATGTATCTGTAAAAAAAAAAAGAGTAAATTGTCTAGTATAAAATTACCGGCAATTTTGTTATCAAGGAAGAATTAAGAAGATATAAGCTTAACTGAAAATTTGAACCCCTTGATCAGTGAACATTTTATGTTATTGAAATGATTTGGTAATGGTTTACATTTGTCCAAAAGCGCCTAACCACGTTTTGACATATCTTCTGTTGTCGTATTAGAAAATCAGACCAAATCTTCCATAGTGGAATCAGGAGGAAAATATATAAACCTTATACAATGATAATTTTCTATTTATGTCACCTATCATAGTCAGAAAAAGTATCGTGATACTTAAGTCTCAGGTCAACGACCTGACCATGGACTAGCCACCTATACCTGAGGTCAAGGAAGGACCAGTGACCCGTTCTAAGATCAGAAGGTTAAAAGAAGGCTTCAACATAGCCCTTAAAACCATCGTAGAAAGCCTAGGTCAGATGGACGAACCATCGACCAACTGGCCGAGAGATGGGCTGTGGTCGACCAAAAGACCGAGATGGGCCATGGTCGATAGGAGCACTAGGCGATGGCCCAACTGAACTAAACGGAGAACTAGCCATGGCCTTTACACAATTCAACATCAGTCAGCCTCCAAATTACTTGTTAGGCTGGAATGCAAGAAGATATCTTTTGAGATAGGAATCTTGATAGATAAATCCCAAGCTAGAAATCTTACTGTAGATTCGAAGAACGGGTAAACAAAGGTGTAGGAGATGATCGGAATGAAGAAGGGCCAACTCGAAAACCAGAGTTTGTATGCAAGCTCTTTCGTATGAATTTAGCAAAGTGACTTGAGAGAGATAAGTAATAAGTTAAAAAATATTTTATTGATTGTATGAATACAATCGTGCCCTTAGGCTACATATATATAGCAAACCAAGAGTAGGTTTAACTATGAGGAAAAGGAAAATAAAAGATAAAGCCAAAACTAAAAAGGAAAATTAGAAATAAGGAAATCAGACTATGGAGAACCGACGTTGTGATGTATCCTGTCACAATACTCCCTCATTCAGAACATTATTGGCCTCAAGGATGGAAGTCTGGATACTTGGCAATGAAATTTTCATAGAATTCCCAAGTTGCTTGTTGTGGTGTGTATCCTTTCCATTTGAACTAAGACCTTTGTAACTGCCTTGTTGTGACGATTTACCATCTTCTTTTCCAATATCAGCTCCGGTTCTTTTCTTGTGCCAACATCATTGAGATATAGAGGGAGCGTAGGTGGTGAATCCGGTGGATTGGGACACAACTTGAGCTGACTGATGTGAAAAACGTTGTGTATGGCAGCATTCGGAGGTAGCGCCAACTTATATGCTCGTGTACCTACTCGATCAGTAACCAAAAATGGCCCATAGTACCTTGGTGATAGTTTATGGGGAACGTTACGACCTTTGAAAGAGTGTTGACGATAGGGTTGTAACTTCAAGTACACATAGTCACCAATTTTGAACTCTCGGTTGGAGCGATGAGCGTCTGCGTACTGCTTCGTTCTATTTTGAGCGCGAAGGAGATGGAACTTCATGAGGTCGATTACTGCTTCATGTTTTTGTAGAGTTTGGTCAATTGAATAAAATGAAATTTCCGGAGATACGGCATGTGGATAGGGGGAGGTTGGCCGTAAATGATCTCATATGGAGTGCTGCGTATTACGGAATGATAGGTTGTATTCTACCACCACTCGGCTAATGGAAGCCACGAGCTCCAAGAATGGGTTGAGTTGGAAGTCATGCAACGAAGATATGTCTCGGGAGACTTGTTTGTAACTTCCGTTTGACCATCAGTTTGTGGATGGTAGGCGGCAGAGAAATTAAGGTCGACACCGTGAACGTGAAACAACTCTCGCCAAACCTCGCTTAAGAATGTAGGATCTCGATTGTTGGACCCAAAATCGGCCCATTAATTCCGAATTCGTCAGAAAATCGAACAAGTGAGTTCGGAGAAGTACAACGAGGAGCGCATGATAGTCCGATGTCCATAAAAAGGCCCAGGCCCAAGTTTTATCATCACATCATGACCAGCGGACTTGCGAGGTGGAAGATAAGACTCCGGAGATCGCGGAGACGGTTAGAGGACCAAGAGAAAACGAGTTTTATCACTGAACGAGGCACCTATTGCTATAAAGTAATGCCTTTTGGACTAAAGAACGCAGGAACCACCTACCAGCGACTAGTAAACAAAATGTTCTCCGCACAGCTTTGGAAAACGATGGAAGTCTACATCGACGACATGCTCGTCAAGTCGTCAAAAGAAAATGACCATGTCCTCCAACTCCAAGAATGCTTCCAAATCCTTAATAAATTCGGGATGAAGTTGAATCCGACCAAATGCACCTTTGGGGTAGCCTCAGGAGAATTTCTCAGATACCTAGTAACGTAAAGAGGGATCAGAGCTAATCCTAAGCATATTACGGCATTGGTGGACACTCTGCCACCAAGGTCCATTCGTGAAGTACAGCGATTGAATGGAAAGATCGCCGCGTTGAATTGTTTCATCTCGAGACCGACCGACAGGTGTCTTCCATTTTACAATCTCTTGAAAGGGAACAAAAAGTTTGAATGGAAAGAAGAATGCGATCTCGCACTAAAAGAACTTAAGGCATACATAAGCTAACCCCCGGTATTGTCGAAACCAATCGAAGGCGAGACATTATTCCTGTACGTAGCAACTTCTGAACATGCGGTCAGCAGTGTACTGATCAGAGAAGAAAGTGGTGAGCAGAAACCGATATATTACACCAGTAGATCTCTGATAGACGCCGAGACAAGATATCCTGCGATGGAGAAGTTGGCCTTAGCAGTCGTCACGGCTGCGAGAAAATTAAGGCTGTATTTCCAGTCGCACTCGATCACGGTAATAAAGCCGCAATCACTACAAACCATCCTTCACAGTCCAAGCCAATCAGGGAGATTAGCTAAATAGGCGATCAAACTCAGAGAATTAGACATCGATTATAAGCCTCTGACGAGTGCGAAAGCCCAAGTCCTCACCGACTTCATTATCGAACTCGCCCCAAAGGAGGCCGACTCGAATTCGAGTTTGAAAAGATTGAAATTATACGTCAATGGTGCATCCTCAAAACATGGGGAAGGGATCGGCATACCGCTCGAGTCCCCGACCGGATAAATAATCGAACAATCGTTTCTCCTAGGATTCAACGCCTTCAACAACGAAGCCAAGTACGAATCACTGATCGCCGGGTTACGACTTGCCCAAAGTATCGGAGCCAAGGAGATAAATGCCTTCAGTGACTTGCAACTAGTCACTAGTCAATTCCATGGGAATAAAAAGCCAAAAACGAAAGAATGGAAGCATATCTCGAAGTGCTGTGAGATATCACTGAACAGTTTGATAAGTTTGAACTCACTAAAATACCTCGAGGAGTAAATACATCGGGGGACGCCCTCGCCGCGTTAGCATCAATGTCGAATCCCGCGGTAAAGTGGGTAATACCAGTCGAAGGGATCAAAAAGCCAAGCATCGATTTGTCACGTAAGGAGCAAAACTTGTGGAAAAATACCACCATCAAATAGGGGAAATTATCACCAGAAGCAGGGCCAGAGACACAATCCAAGATAACACTGATGAAATACAGCCTGACAAGAAGCCTTTAACGACCCTTACGACGAGGACATCGGGATATCACAAAGGCCCGAACGGAGTTGCGCGCCGTGTGCTCGAAGAATAACCTCAACCTCCCTCGAAGAGGCGGATCACCAACCCGACGCGACGGCACACAAAGCCCTCCAAGAAGAAATCGAAAACAGAGCCGATTGGAGAATCCCAATCTATAGTTTCATCAGTAAGGGTTAACTCCCCGTTGAAAGAGGAGAGGCTAGGAAAATAAAAGCCCGTAGTTTGCGCTACTGCATTATGGAAGAAAAACTATACAAACGAAGCTTGGGGAGCCCTACCTCCTGTGCATATCCCTTAAAGACTCTTTCACGATCTTGAAACAAACCCACAATGGGTCGTGCGGAAGCCATTCGGGTGGTAGATCCCTGGCTATCAGAATTAAGAAATACGGATACTATTGGCCGACTATCGCTGATGATTGCGAACAGTTTTCACTGAAATGCGATAGATGCCAACGACACGCCCCCATGATACCAGCCCACTCAAAAGCTCTCGTCTATATCTTTGCCGTACCCGTTCATGAAATGGTCCATGGATATAGTCGGACCGTTGGTCCCTTCCGGGCCAGCAAAATTCCGTTTCCTTCTAGTGTTGACCGGCTACTTCACCAAGTGGATCAAAGCCGAGGCAATTCTGAACGTCACAACTGAGGCGGTGATCAAGTTCGTATAGAGGAATATCATATGCAGACACAGACTCCCGTATGAAATAGTCACCGACAATGGCTCCCAATTCATATCCAAAGCATTTACAGAATTCAGCAAGAAGTGGAAGATAAAGATAAAAACGGCAAGTCTGAGATACCCAAAATGTAACGGTCATGCAGAAGCGGCAAACAAAACCATAATGAACAATCTCAAGAAGATACTCGACCTTAAAAAAGAAAGGTGGGCAGAAGAACTACACGGCGTCCTCTGGGCGTGCCGAATGACACCGCACACCGCAACACAGGAAACCCCGTTCTCTCTCTCTTACGGA